ATCAATCAAGATGTTATATCCTCACAAACATGCCACTGGAGATGGAAATGGACAAGATGTCCACTGAGTGACACTGCGCTCCATGAAAGCCCTCAAATGGAACTGGGAGGGGGAAATGACTAGTTGGGTCTGGATTCGAGAGTGAAGAGGAGGTAAGAACGCGTGCACAAACGTGGAGCCAGCTAAAGACAACTGCAGAGAACAGAGTGAAATGGCGACGTGCCATTTAAGTTATATGTTTCACCCGAAACCTAACGGAATACTTTTTCATTATCTTGTCGATAGGAATAGATTCTCCTTCTTGACTTTTAATATATGCTATCAGTTAAAACCATTACAGCTTTTTGACTTGGGAGAATATTATGCTTTTTGAGATAATTTGCTTTTCCATACTTGTGCACTTATTAGGTGGATTGCACTGTGAAACGGTATGTTATACTGGCTATATAAGTGCGTAATATTGTTTTCATTGTTTGATTTATCTAATAAACGCACTGACATAAAAAATATTTCAGCCATACAGTTTTAATATATTTGTGTGAAAATTTCTCTGACATGATCAGAAAGTGTACAATTTATGATAATTACGTCGATATTGTTCATAATACGCTGGATCAATCCGGAGTTTCGAAATAGCCAGTTAACGCCAATAAATTATATTTGGTGTTGTTTCCTCTGAGCACTAATGGTAGACATTTTTTTCAGTTGGTTATATTAATTATTAGGATATATGTTGTTCTGTAGTTTTCTGTTTGTTAATTATATATATATATATATATAGGATTTGTAAGGGTTTAATTTGTTTCAAGTTTGACCGTGAATTGATTTCACTTTCCGAACTATTGAAAACCAGGGAGGACTAGACATCTAGTGACTGGTTATAGGACGAAGTAGTCAGCAGTTCTAGTAAGAATTCGTGATCAGTAGGGTCCACCAAATCGCGCGTGAGGACCATAATTCATCGGTGGTCACGCTAAAGTGGCGAGCAGACAGAAGCTTGAAGTGATGGACGAATGGATTCCGTCCTTTCATCTGAATGGTATACTAGCTCACTTTGTAACCTGTAAGTCCTGGGTTCGTGGGTGTGTACTGTGAAGAGTCTCGGGTAGGGACGAAACGGTCGTGCAGTACTCCTAGATGGTTTCCAATGTTTCTCCAGCTAACATCAATCCATGACCAAACTCGAAACAAATCACATTCCTACAAAGTAATTCTTGAAATATATATATATATATATATATATATATACTAAGCATATCATATCCTGTAATCTGAATATTTCTGTTTCCTATAGAAAACTGTGGTAAAATTTCGCTTTGAACCGTTTACTATAAAAAGCAACAAAAGTTAACTATGCTATGTTCATTCATACTTTCTTTTGACTCAGTACTCACTGAAAATTTCTTAGCATTGAGGTTATGGATATCTGACTGACTGATACACTCACTTCATATTACCATACTCCATATGCTACACAAATGTAGAGAAAAGGAGAAATCAAAGTAACTACAGTGAATAGAAATGTGTGGGAGAAGAATAACCGTGTAGAGAATAATGAGAATTTGATTAATCTAAGAGTTCATAAAGCGTGAATACATTTGGGACATTGATGACAATTCTGAGCCTTATCACCAACAGTTTCCAGCCATTAGTTCTTAGCATCTTGAGGGCCTCAGCCAGATAGTCTACAACCTTCCGTACGTGACTCAAACCAACAGTTAAAGGCTTCGTAGATTGATGTCGGTTTTCAGTATCATTAAAACATTATTATTTAGCATAGACCTTATACAACACAAGATTTGAAACCTTATTTTATAATAACACTGATTATGGTATAATCAACTAATGAATATCAAATCATAAGCATTCTTCAGAGGGGAGAGGGTGTATTATATTCATCGAAAGGAGGTAAATGAACTATCTCTTCTGTTAGCGTAATATTAGTTTCAGTTCCCCGGAAAAAAATCCATTTTTATGTGATCATGCAGTCTTACAAAGTATCTCGATTCAGAAACTATATGAAGGCTTCATTACAGTGACATCATTATTTCAAGATTGGAATCATATATATCTCATGCTTCTATGAACATGTTTACTTCGTTCTTGTGTAAATTCAATAATTCTATTGGTACTAAGTGAGATCAGCGGAAATCTATGTTCATTGGGCTTATAAACTGTAGATTTTCCCGTTGATTGATTGGGCAGAAATATTCGGGGTCTGTTGGCATGTTGGCTCCATAATATGGATGCTATAACGATGTATGAGGAATAACTACAAGTAATTTGCTGGATGGTGACTAGCAGTGAAATCCAGGATGCTAATTTCCTCCTATTTGGTACTTGCCAACCGGGTATACCTGCAGTGAGGTGACTATCTTAACCCAGGTGGTTTAGTATATGACACTGTGGCATTTAAGACGACGAGTACTGAGTTCGGGTCTTGTCTCACTAGGAAATACAAGTCCACCCGGGTGATGAGTTCGAGGCGGGGAGAAAGGCTAGTTACCGTCCACCAAATTACTTCATGTAAACTATAGAGTTTTGAATTAATTATGGCATACTTTTTCACTTATGAAGTTGGAAACACCTTATTGAAAGGAAAAACCAATAATCAATTTATTCAACAAGACTAAAAAGACATCAATGTTGAATAAACTGACTTTCATTGTAGAAATGCATTCAAAACGTTGTATTATTCTCCACGAAACTAACTAAAATCACGTGTGAATCAGTATTCAGTCATCTGCCGACAAGAAAACACATTGACATACACATTTTTAAGCTGAACTAATATACATGAAAGTTTTGCTGACTAAAAAAGACTTTATTAGCTTCTTCTTAAACAGAAAAAAACAAGAGTTTCTGTACATTTAAAGGAAAATGTTAGTAAATCAGAAATAATCTTTGACACTCTTTTGTCACAGTTTTCAATAATAGTAGCGTATTGGTCACTGATGTAAAACTCAAAATGTGGTTGTTTATTTTCTGGCAAATTTTAATTTGGTGAAATGTAGTGAATCATTGAGAATCAAACGTAGTTTTTGAGCTGTATCAAAATTCTTTACGATGAAGTTGGGGGGAGGGGTTATTTAGTGATCACTGGATCTTACTGTGAATAGTGGCTTACTTATCACAATATTCTTAAGTTCGTGTGATGTGAAACCCTCATGAAGTGGCGAGTTAGCATCGTTAAAAAGTCTTATAATGAGTCAAGTTAGTTGTTTGGCACTGTTTTTTTCTTCAGCTTATGTTAACTTGTGATGCAACTGGGTTACAATCAATCAGAATCCCATAGATCTACTTCCTGATCCTGTCTTCATCGTGTCAGTAATAACTAGTTTACTTATGAAGTATTTTGGTTTGAATAAAAGTTTTAAATTATACTGTTAAAAAAATATCTGTAGTATTATATAGCGCTTTAAAAACCTACAGAACAAAAAGGACATCTAATTAATCAACTGGGGAGTTAACGCACGAGTGTTGTTAGAAAAAGTCAGAATTTTCAGTCAATTGGATCACTGATGTTAATGCAGAGTTATATAGTCTCTACATTGGCTGGTCATTGGAAATTAACCAATGTTCTTTTTTTAGTCCATGGTGTTAGTGCTGACTAGATTCTGTCAGTCATATTTGCAACGGGGTCATCAAGCTAGGTGAATCGCCATCCTGCTGCATTGTGAATTAATGTCAGATAGTGCGACGTAATTGGAGGAGAGCGCTGCACCTAGGTTTCGTGCTTGTTGTCCCTCGTAGGCAAGGAGTATCTGTAACCCTGAAGGCACTAAGTCCCATTTTGGGATATGAACCCACGTGCAGTTCTGCAGTCAGAGACGGGTTCAAATCTCAGTAGGGGATGTGAGTTTTCTGAAGGTTGCAAATAAGCTATGCTAACAAGCAGGACACCTAGGTTTAGAGTTTCCTTTCTACGGAATGTTTTCAACTATTCAACATCATACAATCTCTCTTTAAGCTTTGTGGATAGAATGTTGTTAAGTGACGTACAGCGATTTTAGATTTGTAGTTTCATAGTAGTATAGATAGAAATGGATGTCAGCTAGTCAAGTAAAGATAATAAAGTTTTAGTTATAAACAATTAGAAAACTTTAATGAATAATCTTAAAAATTAGATGTATACAAGTATCCATGATAACTTCATACTCATCGTCTACCATTACCTATCTTGAGTATTCTCATAATCTATTTTTTGTTGATTTTCGTGTTTGTTGCTATACAGTGAGACAACTTGGTCTAATGTCTTTTTTTTACTCAAGTCTATGCTCTCGCTCATGTTTTACTTTCGTGATTATGTGAACAACAATGGTTGCATGTAATAAGTTACCCATGGAAGGGATCCAATTGTATACTTATTTATGCGACAGGTCTCATTTATTCTGTATAATTTTATTTTACACCACTTGACTATGGGTATAACAAGAAAAGTATTCCTATATCTAATACACATGGTAAGCGCTAAGACTAAACGCCTATTGAAATCAGTCATATTAAATGTATCTTTCTTCAGCTGATGAACTTTGTGTAGGACGAAATATGCATCGGTGGTTCAGTGGCAGAATACTCGCCAGCCACACCACACGTGGTTCGAGGCCCGTTCCCCTACCGGCTCACTGCTAAACATCGCTTAGTCAGTAGTAAGCCTAGTAAAAACTGAAGGTTTGCCGTGTGGTTAGCAACCCTACCCCGTAAAAACCACCGCTACTGAGACTTTAATGCTGAAGCTTGAAGGCTTATATTCGATTCAGATACCAGAGAATAAAAACGTATAGGGCAAAATACTCCGAGTATAGTCTAATTTCACACAATGTTCAAATATAGTTTTACTTTTCAAAAAATTTTTTTATGTATCATGAAGACAAAGAAGACGTGAATCTTTTCCAGTAATAGGACTTTCTTTTTTTTGTTGTATACGATGAAAGGGAACCCATAAGAAGAAGCACTGTTAAATTGATTTTATTCCTTTTTTCCATTCTTTGTTTACATAGTTGTATCTTGGTATCGTCTTGTCAGCTGTGGTTGTGATTACCGGTTGTTTTTCGTATTATCAAGAGTCGAAATCATCACGTATCATGGATTCATTTAAAAAGATGGTTCCACAAGTAATAATCGCTAATTAAAATTGTAGTTTGTACTGATTATCTCAATAATTATTATTTATTCATTTATGTAATAGTATATATGTAGTACTTTTTTCAGAATGTCTTTGAAAATACAACTTTCAATAATAAATTTTTTTCGAGTTTGATCACGGATTGATACCATCCAAAACCAAGGAGAACTGAACACCTGTTTCGTCCTAGTTTGGGAGTCGTCTTCAGTACCCCAGCGGGCCAATGAATTGGGTCCTAGTAGTTGAATGGTATACGAGCTTGCCTTGTAACAGGAAGGTCCTGGGTCCGAAACCCAGTGGGTGCATACTGCCGATGATTCCCAAACTTGGATTAAACAACTGTCCACTAATTAATATCAACCCGTGATCAAACTCGAAAAACAAATCAAATCTTAAAAATAATAAATGTCCGCACAGAGTTGTTTATTTAAGATGAAGTTGTACCAGTGAACAATGTTGGGGATTAAGTATTACGCTAGTAGGCGAAACGGTTAAGTTGGTTGATGAAACTATGAATCAGTAAAGAAGAAAGTGTCCAAATCATAGTAGATCTTAAGTTCAAGTTGTTGAGATGTTTGTGAAAAGAATGTTTTTCTGTCTTCATTGATTCTCTAAACAAATATCGTAGTTCCAATGGAAAGTCCTGATTTGCAGGGAGCGCCAAGTTGTATATAAGGATAAATGCTCGCCGGTAACACTCTCAGGAGGTCTCACTAGATATCAGAAATTTTCAGAAGTAAGAATTGACGGGCTATTGGATTCCGTCCTACTGACTGAATGTTATACCAGCTCACTTTGTAACCTGCAGGTCCCGGGATTGATTCCTGATGGATGGAGCCACGGTTGCCTACTGATGGAGAGTCCTTAGCAGGGACGAAACAACTGTCCAGTACTACCTGGTTTTCAGTTGTTCTTCAACTAGTGTCAGTTCGTAATTAACCTTGAAATATGGTATGGTTTTGTAATAGATAAATTTCTCATAAACATAACAGTTAATGAAGTCAATGACTATTTAAGCTGTTTACAAAGTTATCGGCTGCTTGAATTCTCTTCTTAAAAGTATGCTGAACCAATCATTGAAAGCTTATTGTAGCACTTTGAAACTGATTAGAATAAGATATGAATGTAGTTATTATATTGAGTTTTCAATATTATGAGCATTCTTAGCATCTTTTTGTTCTACTACGATATCTCAGACATCCTATTTGTTTGTCTGACTGACTGGTTTCAATATGGAACTTTGCACAAATGTGGAGCAGTCTAAGTTGCCATTCCCTCTCGATGTGCCACACAAAGCAAAACAAAGGGGTAAACAGAGGTACAAAGGAGATGGAGAGAGATAATAAACAGTAAATGAAATAAATAAAATATGAAAAACCAATAAAGTTTATTGGATATGATGAATCACAAGGAGTGAATACACCTGCGCCACTGAGAACGATTTTGAGCCATACCACCGATTGTCTCCAGCCATTGGTTTTTATCATCCCGAAAACCCCAACCCATCAGAAAGTTTACATCTTCCTATGTAGATGGCCGGCCTAAACTAACTGTTGTGGATTTCATTTGCTGATGAAGTCATGTTTTAGTTTGACCACCACTAGCTCTTATCCTATGTCAGCTATCATTGCCCATTGTCGAGTTAGGCGATGGCTAGACACGCGTAATACATGTCCTAAGCATCTCTATCAGTCGGTGTAACTTCACAGCCTCGTAGATTGATTTCCCCCTTACCTAGCACTCGACGCCTAACCTCAGTATTTTTGATGTGGTTTTGTTCTCTGAGCTGGATAGTTAGTTTGCGAAGCTTTCATCACCTTACTGGGTCATCACCCAGTAAGGTGATGAAAGCTTCGCAAACTAACTATCCAGCTCAGAGAACAAAACCACATCAAAATTATCCACCTGAGCTACAAATCTTCTCTATCATATCTAAACCTCAGTATTGCTCACCCTATTATGTCACTCAACAAACGCGGGAGATAGTGGGCAGACATTTATGATCAAAGACAGCTAGCCTTTTCATATGTTCCACTCTCGATATCCATGTTTTACTCATATTCATAAAAGAGGGTGTAGAGAACTGCTGAGCAGTACACACGTCCTTCGGTCGACAACTGGATATCACGTCTACTAAGCCAGAGATGGCATCTTCCCCTAGAAGGACTATATCATCTGCATATTCTAAGTCGACGAGATTATTCTCCGGTAACAAGTCAATCCCTGAGTCATTGAAGTCAGTCAGGGTTGTTTGTCCGGCATTTCATTACTCACTTCCACTTTGGAGTGTAAATACTTAAACTGATACTACTAAATCCTACATCATTTTATCTCTGCAGTGAATCCAAAACTTTGTTACTTTCATTATTGATGTAATAAGAAAAGGTGGATTTTGAACATACAGAAATAAACATATTTCATGGGTGGGAAAAGTTATGAATTAGGATAAAATACAAACAAATATCAGGACACTAGAGGGAAAAGAACGAGGATCTCAGCAAAGCTTTTTTCGGAAATTTCATCCTCAAAAGCTGTACGATTGCATTTATATGCATAAGTTTGGATAGTTATGATAATTATTCAATTCACAACATACTAACGAAGGGACATTAAAGGTGATCATACTTTTCAACTTGATATGAAAATTTCAGTGTGAATGTAAATCACAAGTGCCAGAAAGACAAAATTACATAGGCTTCAAATATAGTTCCATAATATGTGAAATTGTTTTTCTTTTTGGAGAAGTATAACAATCGATGATATATGTCTGATTTCCCAGAAAACTGGAAGATATGCAAGTGAAGAGCAACAAGTCGGTAGACGAAGCATCCAGAGATGATAGGAGTCCAGGTGAACATAGAGAAAACAGAGAATGAAGATTCCCGGTCAACAGCAACAACAACAGACAACAATCAGCATAAATGGGAGAAATCTGAAGGAAGCAACTTCCTTTACCTAACTGGGAAGCATCGTTTCAACTACAGGCGGAACTGATGAAGATATCAGAACAAGGATCGCGAAATCAAGGCAAGCTTTCATTACTGTCAAGTCTGTCTGGAGGTCAACAACACTCAGCATCAAAAATAAGATCCGGATTTTCAACTCCAATGTAAAGTCAGTGCTACTATACGGATGGATCAGAGACTTGGCGAGTCATAAAGAGCATCTCAAACAAACTTCAGACCTTCATTAACAGTTGTCTTCGCTCAATACTCAAGATCAGATGGCCAGAAAAGATCAGAAACAGGGATCTCTGGGAGCGAACCAACACAGCAGGAACCGATTTTGCAACAAATAGGCGGGAAGAAATGAAGGTGGATTGGTCATACTCTGAGAAAACCATCAAGTAACATCACACGCCAGGCCATCGCTCGAATCGAACTCGAATGGGAAGCGGCGAGTTGGTCGTCAGTGAGAAGTTGACGTGGAGGAGGTCATGCGAAGGGGAGATGAAAGCATATGGGCAGATGTGGAGCCAGGTGGAAACGTTGGCGGAGACGTGTGACTGAAGCCCTATGTTCCTCTAGCAGCTAAAGGAGTGAATAATAATATCAACGGGTTGTGCTGGAAATAAATTGAAATAACAGTTTTCTTTATAAGTGAAGATGAAACATAAAGGGAATAAAACATCAAACAAACGAAAACTAAGCAGCCTAAGAGAACTGGATCCATGACAAATTAAGAGGTTGGACTAGTTTATTTTGAACATATTGCCCCAAACTCTTAATAAATGTGATGAAGGCCTCTGGAGTAAAAAGAAGTCGGAAACACTTTGGCTCTGGTCGACTTTTGTCCGTTTTGTAGATGACTCTGCGTGATGAGTCTTTCCAGACGTTGTGACAGCTGCTAATGAGGTGTTCAGTTATAGTGCTTCTGACTGAACTAGTGTCGTCTGTTTATAGCCATGCTGGGTAGTGTTGTCTAACACGTCTAGAAAGGATGGGCGTAGAACCACCTATATATCGAGCCCCATAAGAAGGTGAATTGTTATATGCACATTTGAGTGGTCATATGCGGGAGTATGTCCACATTGCTTAGAAACATTCGATTACTACAGAATATCACTCTTAGCGCCGCTGCAGGAAAGATTTTCTTTAGAGAACTAGAGATTGTCATCCTTAGGATATCTGCTTCTTAGTCACCCCTGAAATCCAGCTTCATATACAGTATTTCCTTTGGCACCGAACTGCATTCTTCTAATTTGGGCCTTGGATTCGTGTTCTTCTTAGCAACTTAATGTATAAAAATACGATTATATTACTTTTGAGGATGAAATCTCATGACGAAAACACCTTTGCTGATCATCTTCCTCTTTTTTCTCTGAAATGTAACTATTAAAAAATTTGGTCTATCTGATGACATTTCATTATTTTCGATTTTCAACTACAACGCGAAACACTTTTTTGGGTTTTAGACTGCTCTTGTAATACGAGATGGTAAAAAGATTGAAATCGAAGCACAATATTTAGTCGTAGGCGATATAACTGAAGTGAAATTTGGTGATCGTGTTCCAGCAGATATACGCATTATTACAGCTAGTTCATTCAAGGTATGTCTACGTTTATTAGTAGTATCAAAGTAAAATTTCTTTTGATAAATTAGAATCTTAATATTGCTTAATAATCTGTAGTAATCTTCGTGTTACACATCATTCAACTTTCATTCTCTTATCAGTTTTGGTTCGAAGAGATGTATAATTAGATAAATAAATTGTATTAGAACAAGGCATATAAAAGCGAACAATATTGTTGTTTTCAATTTTATCTTCTTCAAGCTTTACTCTAATCTACATAGATTTATATATAAAATATTTTAGCCAATGACGGTAAGTTTGTGGATCAAATAATGAAGATGATAACAATAATAATGTGGTAGACTACACTTCCTTGATTTCCAGTTGATGAGAAGAGAGGATGGTTCACTCAAGAGAAATGTCTATAGAAAACCTACATATGTTGCACAATATACACATTTCCCCAGTTTTGTACCAATCCGATACAAAATCAATTTGGTTAGATGCCTGACGAATAGAGCGGGACGGATATGTACAGATGACTCCCTGGGAAATAAATTAAGATACATCTAAAATACTCCGGTTCAAATGGGTGAGGCGGCAGGTACATGAACACCAGGTATAATAAAGAGAAACTGGCAAAAGTTAAAAACAGACAACTGTTCCTAAAATTGCAATCTAATGGGGTTGTGGCTAGTGAAGTCCTACATCTAAGATTATCTAGAGCAATGAAATGGACTTATACTTCTACCGCCATTTGTCTGTCATTTTCCAGTCGACCAATCATGATTGCTCAAGCGAAAGACAAGCTACCCAGCTGTGTCACTCCTATGTGTATCTACAAATTTAGTTGCTCCTACTGAGGAAGCTATATAGGGCGAACAACTAGACAGCTCAACAAACGCAACATTAACGAACATCTCCCTTCGTTGTTCGAGAAGGGCCAAATAAAATCCATAAGAAATTCTATTTTGACTGATTTGATTGACATCGGTCACCAAGTGAACAGAAGTAGTGTCTTCAAAGTTATCTACAGAATTCCATCGAGTATTCCGAACAGAATTCGAACCCGCCTTTCACTCAGCCAAAGTTAGTGGAATTCGAGAGAACAATCCTAATCTTTACATACAGAAGAAGTTTGTTCTACCTTTATCTCTCCCTTGGTATGGGTAAAGTTTAAATAAAGCCCTCCCACCATGTATTATTTTCCATTTCCTTCGTACTTTTGTGATATTTATTTAAACTCTGATTATCTGTCTACCTCACCTTTATTAATATGTACCTTTTAAGATTTGACCTAATTTATTTATTGAATAGTCCACGTATACACATATTACTACCTTCGTTATTCTTATCTCCACGTGCATAAACCTTATTATCATTATTTTGTTATCATTATAATTATCGTTATTAAGGACGTTTAAAACATTTACCTCATTATTATTATTAGTTGGAGAATTTCATCATGAGCTAACATCAGTTAGAAAACCATTGGAAAACCTGGGATTACTGGACAACTGTTTCATCCTAGCTAGGGACTCTTCATCAGAACTCATCCATCAGCGTTCGAACCCAGGACCTTCTGGTTACGAGGCGAGACCATTCAGCTACTGGGACCCAGTCTAATGCCCATGAATTTTAACTTCTTCCAATTCATGACATAGCTCTACTACTTCTCGATGTCTTCTTCGATGAGTTAGTGCCTTATCTTCAATCTGCTGTACTGATGTCAGCTCATGGTGAAATCCTCCTACTAATCAAACAAAATCTCTACAAAACAATAATTAAAAATTACTATTATCAGCGTTATTTGATCCACAAACTTACCGTCATTGGCTAAAATTTTTATATATAAATCTATGTAGATTAGAGTGAAGCTTGAAGAAGATAAAATTAAAAACAACAATATTGTTCGTTTGTAGATGTCTTGCTCTAATATTATTAATAGGAATATTCAAAGATGTGAAATAAATAGTAATAAATACCTGCCTATTAAACCTTGGGAATAATACTGTGGTCTTTATAGCTGAAGGTTCTAAATCCAAATGTGAGTAAGAACAATGAGAGGAGAATGTATATGATTAGACCTTATAGTCATGTTACAACAGTCAGTAACAACATTATGCTATGTTTAACTTTAAACTATTGCATAACAGCTTTTAAACTTACTGTTTATCTAAATTTCTGTAAGACGGCTAATAGGTTTTTTTATTGGCTGCTATTAAAACTCCTCACTCGGGGTATCGAGTGTTGTGTTAAAAAATGAATATGATGGAAATCAAATGTTACAAAGTTATTGTTCAAACAAATAAAGTATTTATTTTATTTTTATTTTTGATTACAGCTTGATTCCACACTGTATTTTCGTACAAGTGTGGAATTTTCAGCATGGATATCGGTAGCCCAAATTTTGCAGGCCGACCATATATATCATATATGTGTCGGCAGGGGATCGAACCTCGGACCATGTGCATGGTCGGCGAGAGTCCTAACCACTGTGCATACTCTACTTATTTGACTTAAAATCTAATCCAAGAAGCTGCAGTGTAATCTCAAAACTTAAGTTCTTATGAGGTCTGGTAACTAAGATGGAGGTTCATACAGCCTTCTTTCTTAGGGTTACTAGAGACTACTTGTTTGGAATTAAACTTCCCCAGGTAATAAACACCAGACATTCTGAATGATTCTTTTGCTTTTTGGGGAATATTTATCACTTCTTCTTAGCGTAAATACAACTCCACTTGTAGAGACTGTAAATTCGTGGCCACAGGGGAGTATTTCCAGATGAAAGAGTATTGTAAGTTATATTCTGGATGGAAGATTTTACTTCTTCAAAATAGTGGAGAGTGTAAGCTGTACTGTATTAATATCAAGGTATTTCAATTCAGAGTTTAAAACCTCGCTTCTAATAAATTGTTTATATGGAAAACATGAACATTATGTTTTTGATGTGGTTTTGTTCTCTGAGCTGGATGGTTAGTTTGCGAAGCTTTCATCACCTTACTGGGTGACATCTTCAGCGCATACTTCAATTTGAAGTGAGCTTTTAGATTTCTCCACGAGTTTATTAATCATCCTCCTGGTGACCTTGGACGTGATTTGGTTGTTTTGTGTGTTTTCACACCTTCTAGGTTACTTGTATTGGAACTGATTGTTTCTTTGACTTGAACTTTGACCCTTTGTGTGTGAAGTTTCTTTCTTATTGGTTGATAAATTTTGTCTATCTCGATGTGTCTATTGATTGATGATTCACTGGAATGCCAAGCTTCTAAAAATTCTCTAGCATTCTTGTTATTTCCTTTGTCTAATATTTGAACGTTGTCCCAGTCGAATTGATGTCCGTGGTTGTCTGTGTGTAGTGAAATGAGGGAGTGGATATCATGTCTTTTGACGGCTAGCTTATGTTCGTGGATACGAAGACGAAGGGGACGTCCACTTTGGCCAATGTAGTGTTTTTCACAGTTGTTACAGTTTATTTTGTAGATGATGTTGGTTTTGTCTTCTTTCGCTGTTGAGTCTTTTGGTTGACATAGAATTGAGTGCAGCGACTTTGTTGGTTTGTGTACGACGTCAATTCCTAAAGGTTTGAAGAGTCTTGTAGTGATTTCTGAGATATCCTTTATATATGGTAAGGCGATTTTCTTTGTGTTTTCCTTGGTGGCTTTTGCTTTGGTAGGTTGGCTTGGGGGTATATGTCTCTTGATGAAATTCCGTGGATATCCATTCTTTTGGAAGACGTCCATGAGATACTTTTCTTCAATTTTTCTTAAGGTGGGAGTGCTGCAGTGAGTCCTTGCTCTCTTGAATAGTGTTTGTATGCAATTCCTTTTGTGTGTTATTGGGTTGTTGCTGTTGTAATTCAGTATTTGGTCTGTGTGAGTTGATTTCCTATAAACTTGAGTTTCTAATTCTCCTGTAGTTGTTCGCCTGACTAAGACGTCCAAAAATGGTATTTTGTTCTCGGATTCCTCTTCTCTTGTGAATTTGATGTCGTTGAAGACGTTGTTTATTAAGTTGTGAGTTTTATCTAATTCGTTTCTTTTGATTATTACAAATGTGTCGTCGACGTAGCGTATCCAAATCTTGGGTTTGATCTTTGGTAGAATTATGTTTTCGAGTCTTTGCATCACTGCTTCTGCAATCAAACCTGATATTGGCGATCCCATGGGTGTTCCTTTGACTTGTTCATATATTTGGCCGTTGAATTGGAAGTATGTTGTTAGGCATAGATTTATGCATTCCATCCAGCTTGTGTGTTGCATTTTTGATTGTTGTGGAAGTTGTTCGTCGTTGCTAAGTAATTGCTCCATGGTTTCTTTTGCTAGTTTTTGTCCGATAGAGGTATATAATGCTGTCACGTCGAAGGATACCATTATTTCTTGTTCATCTATTTGGATGCCTCTGATTTTCTCTAGGAATTGGATAGCAGAGTTGATGGAGTGATCACAAGATTCCGTTAGGTGTTTTAGTTTTCTGTATAATTCTTTGGACAAATTATATGTTGGAGTTCCTGGGAGTGATACAATTGGTCGTAACGGGATATTTGCCTTGTGTATTTTGGGTCTGCCGTAGAATCGAGGTAGGACTGGTCCATTGGATTTCATTCGCCATTGGTCTTGTTTTGTGATCTGTCCAGTTTTGCTGAGCTTGTTTAAGGTCCTTTGGATGCGGTTGTCCAATGTTTGTATGGGATTTGTTGGGAGTTGTTGATATACATCTTCATCTTTGAGTAGTTCTTCAGCTTTCTTGGTGTATTCTTCTCTGTCCATGACTACTGTTGTTCTTCCTTTGTCGGCTGGTAAAATGACGATGTCCTTCCTATTTTTCAGCTTTTTGAGGGCCTTTAGTTCTTGAGAGTTGAGTTGTGTGTGTGTTGTCTTTTCTGTTTGACCATTGGTACAATTGTTTGGCGTATCTCTTCCTGTGTTTCCTCGTTCATCCAGCTCAGAGAACAAAACCACATCAAAATCATCTACCTGAGCTACAAATCTTCTCTATCATATGAACATTATGTACAAGTAAATAGTAGGCAGAACTTTCCACGAAAAAAATGCTTTAATACAAATTAATATATAACAGTATTCTAATGATAGGAGTGAAGTCTATTCAACCTCGTTCACAACAAATGATATTCTGAGCAGTATTTATTTTAAACAGAAGAAAACTATATGGCATTGAAAATTTAAAAATTATTGTATATTTATCAAATGTTAAATAACTCCCATAAATATATACTCTTCCTTTAATTCTCAAGGTGGATAATTCTGCATTGACTGGTGAATCTGAACCGCAGTCACGTACACCAGAGTTTACAAATGACAATCCCTTGGAAACGAAAAATTTGGCTTTTTTCTCAACAAATGCTGTAGATGGTGAGTAGTAGTGAATACGTGGTAGCCAACTTGTCCAATATACTCCACTTTTCATAATTTCATTGAAGAGTTCGTCACTAACCAACATCAGTTATAGATATCACTGAAGGCTAGTAGGGGGCATTGGATAGCTGTTTCGTTCTACTTTGAGATGCTTCGTCAATGCACATCCATAACCACCCTACCAGAGGTCGAACCAAGAACCTTCCTGTTACGATTCCAAGATTGTTCAGCCACTTGGGTTGGAATTTTATCACCCCTGAATTCCAACTTCTCTTCACTTGTGGTATAACATTACTATGTTACTCACTTGTCCATTAAAAATCTCTCTCTTGTTCTGAATGACTGTACATTTTATAAACATTCAGTCGACAATATTAACTAAAGAACTATCATTCCACCTTATACATGTACCCCCATACCGTTTTGTGATATAATTTTCACTTGCCTTTGCTGGCTATTTGTATTCTTATATTCATGTATTTATAACTGTAGAGCCTGAAAAATAATTTTGTCGAAGACAAGTGTTCCCTCCAAACCGTCTTCTTCCAATTAGACTTTGCGAATTGTTTATATACTCTTTAAAAAGTCTATAAAATTATGAGAGGATGAGATTTCTGAAGAAAAGGAGTTCATAAAACTCAGTGTTAAGTCAAATATATATATATATATTCACTGAGGTGAGTCAGTTTAGTAGTTTAGTAGAAGTTGTGACCAGCGGGGTTTGCCAGATCAAGTGTAAGGACAAGTACTTACAGACAACATTTACCGACGGTTGTGCTAAAATTGAGAATCGACAAAGTTAGAATACAAGTGTCATTGCATTCCGGCCGAAGTTGCTGAATGGTCAGTGAGCTTGGCCTGGTAACCGAAGGTGCCGTATTTGATCCCTAGTGAATGGTGCTGAAGAGTATGGAGCTAAGAGGAAACATTTGCGCAACTCTCCCTGGCTTTCAGTGGTTCTCTGACTGATGTCATTTAGTGTTTGAAATTCTAACCACTAGAAACATATGTCAGCGATTTTTCCAAAATAAATCAGTCAAAGTGCTGATGTTCAAGCAGTTAAAAAATTAGTCTTTAATACACTTTTTTCAATTCTGTTTTTAGGCACATGTCGTGGTATTGTTATCTGTACAGGTGATCGAACTGTAATGGGTCGTATTGCGAACTTAGCCTCTGGTTTAGAGCTTGGCGAAACTCCAATACACAAGGAAATCAGTCATTTTATTCATATAATCACAGCAGTTGCGGTGTTTCTTGGCGTTTCATTTTTCATTATTGCTTTCATTTTGGGATATCATTGGCTTGAAGCTGTCATCTTTTTGATTGGTATTATTGTCGCAAATGTCCCTGAAGGTCTTTTGGCTACCGTTACGGTAAGTTATTTATTATCTGTTATTCACTGAATGGAAAAATCCATTTAGTCAGATTTGACCATGTCACATGAAATCTTGGTTGATTAGTCATTACAGATCTACTTTAGTCAACTAAGCATAATAGATAAAATAACACAGAGTTCAAAAGATAGCATTATTTTGTCGTAAACAACATAACTTCTCCTCTCTTCTACTGTGTCTAAAATATGTCACTTTTATGCATCTGAAGTTTTTTCTGACTGGAAACTAGTTAGTAACTAGTGTAATGTGTATAGTCCTTTGTTTGGTGCTGCAATTTGGCCACCATTTTAGGTGGCTCACCATCACGATGAACTTTGAATTGTTGATATTAAATAGTTGAAGGCAATCAGCGATCCACCTAGAATGGTGGCCGCCTTGCAAACGTGACTGATAGAATTCAGTCTGCACCAAACAAATGACTAGACACACTACACTAGCCACTGACTAGATTTCTATCCAAAGTATCCAATACAGTCCTACAGATGGTCAATCGCCAGCCCAAATAGCTCAGTAGTAACGTCTCTGACTGCAGCACTGGATGATGCGGGTTCGAGTCTCAGAAGGGAAATGAGTTCCTTCAAGATTGCAGATACGCCTTACTGACGAGTGCCAACTAGCACACAACCTAGATGGAACGCTTCCTGCCGATTGCTTCCAACCATCTAATGTATAGTTTCAAAGTACAGAGAAATACAGTGGGAAAGAAATTGTCTAACATTTATGAAGAAAAACACGATTTTTGCGTTGCGAAAAAATATTTCTTTTCAGTGACTTCGTTTTCATGCTGTACAGTCTTATTAATGTCGCGGAAAAAGGCATTAAGTGGCTCAGTAGCCAGTATTCATACAATAAGAAGAATAAAGATACATAACATGAGTTTTAAGGGGGATAAAGATGAAGTGGGTGGATTACAAAGTATTTTAAAAATCATTAAATAGGTGAATTGGTATTTAGATTTAAAAAGTAGGTTGAATCGTGGCAACTCGAACTGCTGCACTTCGGTGCCAAGTTCTATGTTGAATCCAGACAGACAGGTTGAATGCTGCCAAATAATCAACAATAAAGAAGGCAAAGACGAAGTGGGGTAGACTGAATTCAAATGGTTGAATAGAATAGAATAAAAAGAACATTCTAACCAAAGTAAAGAAAGGGGTTTAACGAAACCTTTTTGAATACATAGCTACAACTTCGGCTATACATCAGTGGAGAAAACGTAAACTTTTAAAGTGACTGAGTTCAACCCTGTACATAGATCAAAAGGATAAATTAAGTGCGGCTGTACAATGTAACTCAAGAAGATATTCACAAATGGAAAACTATATCATCTTATACTCATCAACCAAACTGAGTAGTGTTTAGCTACGGGTTTTTGGAGAACACGCTCACAACGTACACTATAATCAGCTCCACAGGAGCATGTGAAAGAGTAGGAGGGGGTAGATCTCAGCGGGGGTTTATCTTTCACAAATTATCGAACTATACTTCGGCTGGAAAATACAGAGTATAAGTCAGCAACATAAAAGGAACGTTTAATACACTTGAATGGACGACCTTTAATTCATTCAACAGAAGTCACCTTTTAATATTAAACTCATATACAACATCTTCGTCACTGTGATTTAGCTAACACAGATCTCTTTCATCAAATTTCTTTCAATATACCTTCTAGGATGAAGTTTTTCTAGTTCTTTATTGACCGTATGCATAAGGCAAATTTTCATAATTCTGGAGAATAGAGAGCGGATACGATTCCCTTTTCTACCTAGAGGTGCCTAGCTGTTGAAGCTAGCGTACTGCTCTGTAAAGGTTGGCTTCTGGCAGGTCGACCTTTTAATGTACCATTCTCTATTCTATCTAGTATAATATCGTAGAATCGAAATGTGGAATTCGACTCTTTGGTGACAACCATTGAATTTTCTGGGGATCCAGTAGCTGAATAACTGTTACCACAAATAATAAGTGTCATCCACATATCTTTCATCCATATGCAAACTCGAGATAATTTCTTTCAATTGACCATTCTCTTAGCTAGCCGGGAAGATGTCTGCTAGGAGAGCCCTTAAAGGAGATCCCAAAGCAACTTCATTCTTTTGATAATAGTTGACATCATCAGGTCAAAATCGAACATTGCGAATTTACAACATGCTTGACTATTGAATGACATGACAGAAATTGTTCCTGGCGTGTTACTTATCCAATTCTATGAATTTGCGAAACAGACTGATTAAATTAATTTTCAAGGTACAATTTTGTACAGAAGTGCAGCAGTACGAGTTGCAACACTTCACACGCACATAAAGGTAGAGAAAAGGTATGTAACGAAACAGCATTAGTTACCGGATTTTATCATGAGCTGACTTCGGTTACAGAACCACTGGAAAACCTGGGAGTACTGGACAGCTGCTTCGTCCTAGTTTGGGACTGAAATGTACGTGAAAAAGTATAATTACAAGAGGGAAAGTCAGAATTTTCAGAATCTGAAATATCGCAGGTAATGATGAGTGCATCTTCGCTACCAAGAGCTATGCTAGGAAAAGTCTCGATCCATTTGTTCTTAGCATCTCGACAACCCTACCATCTGAGCAGTGTACATCTCCCAACGTGACTGACACCAACAATTAAAGGTTTAATGGAATAGTACCATGTTTTGATTTGTCTGCTCTTTACTTTCTCCAAACTTTATCCATTGTCAGTCGGTCAGCAGTGCTGCTTGAGGAAGACAGTGGCTTGGGATGTATAACACAGGGCTTATCCATCTCAGTCAATGTAACTTCATATTCTCATCAAGTGTATTCCCCTCTTTGCTTAACAACGCGTTTACTCTCATTGTTACTCATTGTGTTATAACACAGTGAACACGAGCAATTGAGCCTATAGTCGAAGATAGCTAGTCTCTTCATATCTTTTACTTACTTTTTCAGTGGTGACCTTTGTTCATCTAAACAGGTACAAATAATATCAGTTAATATCCGATTCTGTTTGAATAAATAGTCAGAATCATCAAAACCATCTGGGACGTTAAGGGTGACTGGCTGTTTAGTTTATAGAGTTGTAATAAATTGTCATGTCGCAAAAGTAGCTCAGTTGAATCATAGTACTACCGATGATGGGAATTATGCAAACCTAATTAGTTATGGGTATTCACTGAGCCAGTAATCAGTTGTTTCGATAAATGTATGAATCAGTTGTTTATTAAAGTTTCCTTTCACAGTAAACTAATAAGGCCAAAGCGTTATCGTTCTTTACAAGTATTCTGTCTTCCTGAAGCAAACAGATTTCGCTCTACTCTATTTTCCTTCAATTTTCATTTCTCTATTTACCTCTTATTTTAGGTATGCTTAACACTGACTGCTAAACGCATGGCTAGTAAAAATTGTCTGGTAAAGAATTTAGAAGCAGTTGAAACTCTTGGTTCAACAAGTACTATCTGTTCCGATAAAACTGGTACACTGACACAGAATCGTATGACTGTAGCTCATATGTGGTTTGATAACACAATTTTCGATGCCGACACAACAGAAGATCAGTCAGGTGAAGTGAACTATTTTAATTGTCTCATTAAATACATTTTAGCATTGAATTCCTTTCATTTTATATTACTATATTATTATAATTTTCGTAGGCTCCGAGTGGAACATAAGACTTCAGCTGACATCTCCATGTCATCTGATTCTCTGAAGTCCTCTTTAGCTGCCTTCACGAATACCCATACGTTTTCATATCCTCCTCAGATAGTTTCCCCTATGTCACTCTTAAAGCGAGGCCCGACTTGAGTCATTAAACGATTTTCCAAAGTTCTGTTCAGTTCATCAACATCCTCTCGGACACATTTCTTCACCTATGGGTTCTTCATTGGTTCCTCCACAGACTCCCTTGTTGCTCATCCATCTAATATTTAGTATGCAGCGAAGACAGCTGTTAATAAAATTCTGCAGCCTCTTCGAAATACTTTCGGTGACGCTCGCTCAAAGGTTTCAAGCCATAGAGAAGAACCGACTGACTTGACACTAGTGTGAAACCTTGTTGTTTATGATGTGTACAGTAGATTCCTATACTTATTCCCGATTAATGAAAGTCTGTCTTGTCTTTCCGATACTGCCTGGTTTTAACACCTTCATCCATCTGACTCTCTGTAATTGAAACGATACTGCTTAGATGAGTGAAAGCAAGTGACCCCCTCCGAGTTTCTCCCATCGATAGTGATTGGTGCTTGATGCTATTGTTAGTCGGTGGGTATTTTCATCACCTCTGTCTTCTTTATGTCCACTTGAATTGCTGCCTTCGCTGGCAGCCGCCTCTGCTTCCAGCTTGTTGGTGTTCGTCTGTAGAATCTCCTTTGAGTTTTATGTGGCTCTAGACACAAGTCTTTCACGAAATCCAAATCTGTCTTCGAGTGGGTCCAACGTGTTTCTGTCTTCTCGCTTCTCATATGCGGCATGCTGAATTATTCAGTCCACAACAATCAGCAATATTATTTTCCATTCACTTTTCACCAATTCTCTTACATTAACAATTTTGTTTTAATTAGGTTAAATTGTTCATTGTCAAATTGTTCAACCAGCTGCTTATTTACCAGAGATTTACAATTTTTCTGTTTGAAAACCTAAAACAACACTTTAACACTATTTCACTTTAGTAATTTTTGTTGAAAAAATGTTTTTTTTTCACAGGTACAAGTTTCGATAAGTCTTCTCCAACATGGACAGCTTTATCTTGTATTGCCATGTTATGCAGCCGGGCGGAATTCAAAGCAGGGGAAGAAGAGAAGCCTGTTTTGAAGAGAGAGTGTAACGGTGATGCTTCAGAATCTGCAATACTCAAGTGTACTGAACTTTGTGTTGGCAATGTCAGTGATTATAGAAGTAGAAATCCTAAAATTTTGGAAATTCCATTTAACTCAACAAATAAATATCAGGTAAGTATTAAGTCATATTCATTAATCAGACACAGTCGAAAAATAGACGTCATATACTGCTTTTGACTTCTATGAAAGTGGGAAAAGAAACTATGAACTTGAATTCAGACGAGTGAAATAATTGTTACAGCAGGTCGGGCTCGAGGACAAATACTCGCCGATGACACTGGCTAGTTGTTGAGCTATGTCATGAATTGGAAGAAGTTAAAATTCATGGGCATTAGACTGGGTCCCAGTAGCTGAATGGTCTCGCCTCGTAACCAGAAGGTCCTGGGTTCGAACGCTGATGGATGAGTTCTGATGAAGAGTCCCTAGCTAGGATGAAACAGTTGTCCAGTAATCCCAGGTTTTCCAATGGTTTTCTAACTGATGTTAGCTCATGATGAAATCCTGTAAACAATTGTTTTTCTCTTCAAAGACCTAAAGCAATTAGTTCCCTTCACGAACTTCGACAAAACAATAAGAAAACGTAGTTTATCTGGAAAGTGTAACGTGTTTGCGCAACACATTTAGGACATTCTGATCACGCACGTAATTTCCATACACAGTTTCATACAATGCAAGAAGGCATGAATCATCACAATACAGGTCAGATTGTGTACACTTTAAGGTTGGGTCAGCATTAGTAGTTACTGTTATTAGTTTTCTGTTACTTATATCAGTTGTACAACTTTTGTACTCTCATTCTTGATCTTATTCATTATTTCAAGTATACCAAACATTATGATTTAAATAAGTTTGATTTCTACAGGAAATCGTAGAGAGATTTTTTAATTATAATGAAGATGAAAATAGGGTGGAGCGGAGTAACCCTGAAGCAAACAATAAAGTAACTGATAGAAAAATACATCACTTCTTTAAATCAGTGTAAAGTTGGATGACACAGTATTGTTTGATAGAAACATTACTGAAAATTGCTAAATTGCTAGTTATATTATCATTATTGTTCCCTTGGGTTCCATCCAAGTGGAACATAGGTATTCAGCGACACATCTCCACTTTCTTCTATTTTCTGCTGTCCTCTTCAACTGAGCCCAGGATTGTCCATTATCTCTCATCTACTCCTCGCCACACGATCTCCTCCACGTTACCCTCGTAGTGACGACTCACTCGTCGCTTCCTATTCGGATTCCACTTGAGTGATGGCCTGCATTGCGCGCAATGTCATTCGATGGCCTCCTCAACATATGCTTGATCCATCCCCATTTCCTCCTACATATTTGTTGAGCAGTTGGCTCTTGGTTGGCTCGTTACCTCCCAGAGTTTCTTATCACTAATTATTTCTGGCCATTTGATCTTCCATGTCGAGCTAGCAGAGGAAGCAGTTGATAAAAGTCTGTAGCATGTTGGAAATCCCTTTCGTGATACGGCCGCCATGTTTCTGACCCAATATGGAAGCACTGACTGACTGACTTCACATTTGTGTCGAACAGAATCCGAATCTTGTTGTTTATGCTGGCTGAGTGCAGTGCAGGAGATTTCCAAACTGTAATCAGGTTGATGAAGGTGTATCTCGCCTTTCCGTTTCTGGCCGGCTGGCTTTGACGTCTTCATTCGTTCCAGTCGCCTGTGGTTGAAACGATGCTTCCTGGGTAACTGAAGGAAGTTACCTTTTTCAAATCTCTCCTGCTGATTTTAATTGGCACTGCTTGTTGTTGTCACTGTTGGTTGGTTTTCTTCATCACCTCTGTCTTCTCTAGGTCCATCTGGAGTCCTGTCTTCGTTGCCAGCCTCTTCAGCCAGTTTGTTGGTTTTCGCCTGTAAGTATTCGAGTTTGTGTGACATTAGACATATATGTCATCTACGAAATCAAGATCGTCTAGAGTGTTCTTATCGGTGGTCCAACGTATTCCTGCCCTCTCACTCCCAAAGCACAGTTTGATGCATAATCCAGTCCACCACTTCGCCTAGTTTCTTAGCTCGCTAGTTTTCTTGCCGGTGCTGAGCCCGGGAAAAGATGAGGGCTGGGGGTAGGTCTAGTGACCGTACCCTGCAACAGAAACTTCAACGCACAAGAAAAAAATAATTCATATTGCTTGTCATAAGGACTCTCTAACTATCGGTGGAGAATTGATTTCCCGCTCGATTTGTCAAAGATCAAAATTTTGTCTGTCCGATTTACTGTGACATGTAAGACTTCATGTCCACTGTACAACTGATGTCGACGAGATGCGATTCCATCGAAGTGTTTAATTTTCTTATATTCTTATGTAGCTAGATAAAATTAGCAGATGTTTCCTTTATTTCAGTAAATTTCGAAAATATCACGCTTTCATTGAACAGTAGGTAGTAACTAATTTCATGCGTTTAGTCCTTCGTTTGGTGCGGACTGAATTCTACGAGCTCGCCTTGTAACCAGAAGGTTCTGGGTCGAACCCCTGTGGGTGCGTACTGCTGAAGAGTCCCAAACTAGGACGAAACAGCTGTCCAGCACTCCCAGGTTTTCCAGTGGTTCTCTAACTGAAGTCAGCTCATGATGAAATCCTCCATGCAATCAAACAAAATCCTTACAAAACCAATACTTGAATTCTATTAGCCAAGTTTGCAATTTGGCCACCATACTAGGTGAATGGTCTCAATGTTCTTTGAATTGATGTTAAGTGATTACAGGCAATCAGCAGGAAGCCTAGAATCTAAATTTCGTGTCTGTTGGTACTTGTCAGTACTTGTCAGAGATTTTACCATTGAGCTACCTAGCATGTAGGGTCACACTGCAAACTTGAATAACAGAATTTACTGTGCACCAACACCCAAAATTGGATACATGACATTAGTTACTATAGAGCGTCCCAACCAACTATCTTTTTAGCTTGTTCACCACAGTTGCATTAAGTTGCTATTTTAATTAATTGATTATTTGTTAACTTCAAGCCAGTGTTGATTCATTATATTTCTGATATGATGAACTAATAATTAATATGCAGGTGACAGAATGCTTAAAGTTAAATCTGGAATTTCGTTGGTTATATATTAAGTTGTTCTGTAACGTCGTGTTACCTATCACTATACTTTTGTTTTTATAGCTATCCATTCACGAAACTGATGATGACGATGATCGTTTATTGTTAGTAATGAAAGGTGCACCTGAACGTATTCTTGATCGATGTGGAACAATTCTAATCAATGGTAAAGAAGAAGTCATGGATGATACAAAACGTGAACAGTTCAACACAGCCTATTTAGAATTAGGTGGAATGGGTGAAAGAGTACTTGGATTCTGTGATTATCGTTTACCAGCTGAAACTTATAATAAGTAAGATTTTTATCCTGTTGTTCCATGAATGCATCAAGGGAATCAGCGGTAGAATGTTCTCCGAGCATGCCACACGTCGTAGTCCAGAGTTCGGTCCTCGAATCATGCACTGCTTAACCTCGCTTAGCTGGCAATAAGCCCTGTTAAGAGAAAAGGTTGCAATTGGAGATAGTGGCACGCCCACTCTGCAAAATACCACTGTTAGTTTTTTGTTTACACTTAAGTGTAATTTCTGAGTACTGTTTACTAAGTTCATAGTCCTTCGTCAACTAACATCATGTAACAAATGTTAAAATTGTTCCTTACACGAATTTTATTAATTTCCGTAGGCTGTACGCAGATGATGATGCCTCCCTATACTCTACACGAAGCATTGATTTGCTTTATTCAAATAAATAAAGAATGATAAAAACAATAATGATAAAAAAATTAAGAAATCATGTATGAACTGCATGAGATCATTATTTAAAAGTTCTAGTCGATAATAATAATAATTGTGTGACTGAAATTTTGTTGCTTTTTTCGCTTCGTTCACAACATTCAGGGACTATGATTTCAACGTTGATGAACCAAACTTCCCAACCACTGGACTACGTTTTGTCGGCCTAATGTCTATGATTGACCCACCTAGAGCAGCTGTACCAGATGCAGTTGCTAAATGTCGATCAGCTGGTATCAAAGTTATCATGGTAACTGGTGATCATCCAATAACGGCAAAAGCTATTGCTAAAGGTGTTGGAATCATATCAGAGAGTTCAAAAACTGTAGAAGATATTGCAGTTGAAAAAGGTGTTGAAGTCCATGAGGTAATGTTACACATATATATATTTTTCTTGACTGTCATTCGTCAGATACATGCATTTGTTTTTTTTTCATATATCCGGTTTTAGGTTTGACCACGAGTTGACATAAATTAAGGATTTTATGATCAAACCTCTAATCAATCAAATCTGAGCAATCCAACATTCGAAAACTAATACGATACTCACTAGTGACTGGCTCCATACAGGAGGTTACCCAGAGTTCTAGTGAGAATTTGCGACCAGTGGCGTCCACCAAATCAAGTAAGACAAGAGTTACTCGCCCATAACATTGCTTGGCCGTCACTCTATGTATCACAAATTGACGGAAGTGGGTTTTGTGGGCTACTGGATGGTCTACGAGCTCACCTCGTAACTGGAAGGTTCTGGGTTCAAACTCCTATGGGTGCGTACTCTTGAAGAGTCCCAAGCTGCGACGAAGCAGTCGACTAGTGCCCCCTAACCTTACAGTGGTTCTCTAGCTAATGTCAACTCGTAGTCAAATCTGTAATCGATCAGATCCCTGCAAACCAACACTTGAAAATATCCGGTTTCTGTGATTAGTTTGAACAAAGAAAGGATGCATATGAAATCAGTCTTCCAAAAAATAGTTTTAGATGACGTGCCGAGTCTCTGGAACTTATCCCCCCCTGCTGAATTAACTACCTCAATAGTTTTCGAAACTATTCTTTAAAAGTACACGTTTCATTTTCGCGTATATATGTAAAGATTAATTGATTGAAAAGAAGCATTTAAACTAGATTGAATCAAAGATAAGTAGAGATTCCCATAATTTTTATTGATTGTCTTTTGAGCTGTGCAGATAAAAGCGAGTTGTTCGCTGGCAATCGTTTTACAAATCAGAAATTATGACTCGAAATTTCAGGTAATATAGCTCAGAATTAATTATTGTGCATTCAGGCTATCCTCGAATACCTTATATAGTATCGTCCAATATTATAACTTCGGTTCCTATCAACAAATGAATGGCTTACATTAATGTTCATTTTTGAAAGTTGAACTAGATAAAACGTGGTGCCTTTTCGACAGAGAGAAAAATAAGTTTTCTGGTTGACACACCGTAATGATGCAATTGGTTGTGTTTGCTGCTGCAATAACTGTTTTATAGGTAATAAATGTAGTATGTTATAATACTGTATTATGATTTACTCCATGACAGGCTTCAAGATAAATTATTACTGCTGACAGGAAAAATTGACTGGCTATATCAGTGTCATATTTTAACAATGTATGGCTAGTGAACATCAGTACAACGAATTTTAAACCACGACGTAATCTTCTGCTGACAGTTGCGCCTACACTAAAAAAAACCCTTACGGATACAATTTCTTTAAATGTGAATAGCATGCAGGTGGTGAGGAATAAGCGTCGAATGTGCTCCGTTGACAAACAAGATAAATCCCTTATTTTTGTGTAGTTCGTGCAGACATTAAATTCTACAATTCGTACATCTAGAAAGTATCAGCCACTAACTCCAAACAAAACATACAAGTCACCAGTTTATCCAGTATTAGTTACAGTATGAAACAATCAATTTGCAGATGAGGTGAAATAACTAACTTTAACTTAATTATGTTAAGGTCTTTCTGATTTACTATTTATTTGAAGTAAAAACAGTAGCAAGATAAGGCTGTCTGCTATGATCGATGAAATGCCTGGTTGTGGTGGACTGAATAATTCAGCATGCCGCATATGAGAAGCGAGAAGACAGAAACACGTTGGACCCACTCGAAGACAGATTTGGATTTCGTGAAAGACTTGTGTCTAGAGCCACATAAAACTCAAAGGAGATTCTACAGACGAACACCAACAAGCTGGAAGCAGAGGCGGCTGCCAGCGAAGGCAGCAATTCAAGTGGACATAAAGAAGACAGAGGTGATGAAAATACCCACCGACTAACAATAGCATCAAGCACCAATCACTATCGATGGGAGAAACTCGGAGGGGTCACTTGCTTTCACTCATCTAAGCAGTATCGTTTCAATTACAGAGAGTCAGATGGATGAAGGTGTTAAAACCATGCAGTATCGGAAAGACAAGACAGACTTTCATTAATCGGGAATAAGTATAGGAATCTACTGTACACATCATAAACAACAAGGTTTCACACTAGTGTCAAGTCAGTCGGTTCTTCTCTATGACTTGAAACCTTTGAGCGAGCGTCACCGAAAGTATTTCGAAGAGGCTGCAGAATTTTATTAACAGCTGTCTTCGCTGCATACTAAATATTAGATGGATGAGCAACAAGGGAGTCTGTGGAGGAACCAATGAAGAACCCATAGGTGAAGAAATGTGTCTGGGAGGATGTGGGTAAACTTGATAGAACCTGGGTAAATGGTTAAATAACATTGCACGCCAGGTCATTGCTAGAGTTGAACTCGAATGGGATACAACGAGTTAGGCGTGTGTAGCATTTTGACATAAGGGATATTGTTCGGCGAGAGCTTACAGACAATCGTGAAGCCAGCGAAAGACAGCTGTAGGCAGCAAAATGAAATTGAGATATATTGATGCCGCCCTATGTTCCATTCGTGCTACGGTGAAATAGTAATCAATATTTAATGGTTGAATTGAATTTTTGATTTTCCCGTCGATTGATTGGACCGAAGTGCTCGGTCTCAGTTTGACATGTCGGCTTCTTCAATTCAATAATTAATATGACCCGTTGCACAAGAGGTGGCTCTCGTGGCCCAAGTGGTCTAGTGGATAACGCTTTGGCGTTTGAAACTATGGGTACTGGGTTCGAGCCTCGGTGGGAACATCATCACTCACTGAGGAATGCAGATACATCGAGCTGACGAGTCCCGAATAGGACGAAATGCGCTTTATCCTGGATTCCACTGCTAGCCACCATCCACCAACTGTATACTAATTAAATGACCAGACATCGTCCAAGCATCTGCACAAGAAGCCGACATGTCAACCTGAGACCGAGCACTTCGGTCCAAACAATCGACGGGAAAATCAAAAATTCAATTCAATAATTAATATGACCCGTTGCACAAGAGGTGGCTCTCGTGGCCCAAGTGGTCTAGTGGATAACGCTTTGGCGTTTGAAACCATGGGTACTGGGTTCGAGCCTCGGTGGGAACATCATCACTCACTGAGGAATGCAGATACATCGAGCTGACGAGTCCCGAATAGGACGAAATGCGCTTTATCCTGGATTCCACTGCTAGCCACCATCCATCAATTGTATAATATTTAATGGTTTTCAAAGTGTACGTATAAAGTGATGATCACTTCCTGTTAGACGTTCCGCCATTGGAACTGCATCTCAATGCAGCCAAATTATGTACACCTCATCTCCAACACACCATTTGCACAGACCTTCCGTTTTGTGCCACTTCTGTCCTTCGTATTGTGTATTTTTTCTTTCTTTTCGTGTCTCCCATGTTTCTCCGCAACGCCAAATCATGTTGTCTTTTTGGCCTCAGATCTATCTCCCTGCTATTCGATATTTGTATGCCAATGAACATCTCTTTATATACTACTGATATGTATTATCAGTAGCACACGCCGCACTATGTCATATAACGTTGACATCTTTGACATTTACATGTATGATTTCTTTTGTGTGTATGTAAGAAACATAAAGTGAGTCATTTTACATCACTTTTTAAATCTTTCTATTATCATCTTTTATAACATATATGTACTTTTAATGTCAATGAGCGCCTATTTGATTTGACTATTGTTTGTGTGTTTTATATTCAATTTCTCTTAGGTTAATCCACGTGAAGCAAATGCCTGTGTTATTCATGGATCAGATTTACGTGAAATGACACCAGCACAAATCGATGACATTCTATTGAATCACTCAGAAATTGTATTCGCTCGTACTAGTCCCCAACAAAAATTGATTATAGTTGAAGGATGTCAACGACAAGGTGCAATTGTTGCTGTGACAGGCGATGGTGTAAATGATAGTCCAGCTCTTAAACAAGCAGATATTGGTATGTTGTCAAAATTGGATGTACATACAGATATATATTAATTTTTGTAAGAATTTTACTCTCGTTACATGTATATCATACCTGCTCGTCATCATGTAATTTATCACAGGGCCATTCTCGTTCTTAAGGTTGACACTGATGTAGACGGTTATTGACACGTTTTTTTTAGCTTTCTTGTAATGCTTATCCTCTCACACTCACATTTCCTTTCCCTATTTCGCACTGCTTCCCCAGAGTTACAAATGTACATGTCAGTGGACAATTTCCTTTACTATCAGTGTTTTTAGTATATATTAAATCGATTAAACATGAGGTTAAGGACCAGTGAAAATGAATAACGAGATTTTAGGTGACATTTCATGAATAGAACAGGAATTTTTTACCAACAATTTGGAAATACAAGTGTGTTGGACTGTGAGTTTACGATGACCACCACTGTTTGTCATCATAGCATCATATCAGGCCTATAAAGTCATGTGAATTTTACGGGGGTTAACGAGATTGACAAGGAACTGAACCAACTGTGAGGTGGCCACAGTATGTTATTCATAATATTCAGCTGACTAAAGTCGGCGTAGACTGGAAATTGTTATGCGTATAATTCCTGAAAAATGTTAAATGTATTATTGGTGACTGACTCTAAGTGGTGAAAGGCTTGCATTCTATAAATACGTTTATTTTTATAGTTATTTCCTGTTTGTTCACCATTTCAATGTAACCATATGAGGTGTTGTTACATTTCGTGTTGTTACACAGTATTACCGAAAAGTCATATGCTCTTTGTTTCTGATCACCAAAGACGTGACTTGTTAATGGTCTTTTAACGTACTAGTTAACTTTGTAAAGTGTTCTCCTTTTTGTTGTAAACATTAGACTATATTAAAGAGATCCTGTTTTCATTACACTCTGTAGCCTTACCGTCGATAATTGAATTTGATGTAAACTTTTAGTTCCAGTTGTAAGTTGGTCTTGGTACAGTCAACACATCTGTGGCGGTAATTAACCCCAGAACACTACTAGCCTACACAGCCTCACCATCTTTTAACATTGGGTGCTGATGTTCACCGTTTAAGTTAACTGGTTGAGCTGATGGTAGGCGACCAAACACCCACGTCACTTAACACATTGTCTTGTTACATTCAATTATTCGTGTATGTACTTCTAGTTAACTAAGCATGCATCATGGCTCAGTTGCACAGTTCTTGAATTGTATTTCTTATTTTTCTTCTAATTTGGACTACTGACTGTTTTCTGGTCCACATCGAATATTCACATTTAGAGTTGGAAGATAGATAGTGTGTGTATAAATACACTGTAGTTTCGTTGTTTCGTCTCTGCTCGTCAACATGTTCATCATAACAAAGATATATATATATATATATATATATATATATATATAACTGAAGGATAGCAATATCGTTCAATGTTTAGAAGAAGAATAGGTAGAGTAGAAAGAACTATGTCATTTTGATAGCTCTTTATTAGTGTATCTGACAGTTAGCTATTATTTCACTCATTGCTTGAAATATCTGTAGCACTCTTTCTTAATTTATTAACACTACTGAAAATCCTTACCTGAGCTTTGTCTTTATATATTCAGAGGAGGTTATTGAGCTAAATTAACTAACGTTAATGATTACTATGGCACACTGCGATTTTGATAATAGGTAGAAAAAGAAATATCTGACTAGGAGTGCACGGATCTAGTTTCTTTGCTGGCGTTCATCATCAAGATACGCCTACAATCTAATATCTGATATCGAATTATGCTGCCTAGTAGTGTTATACTACATTGTTTAGCGACAAAATTCGAGAACTGCCAAGACCCGACGGCTGCATTAGTTACAATTTGTAGCAGTCAGTTCGCATACAAAGCTATGTCGCACCGATTGTTAGTCGTGGACCAATCAGCCTAGTGGTGGTCTGTGAATTCAGAACTAAGTGAACTGAGTAGTACAGGTGACTCGTCTGAATATTTAATATATCAGTAGTTTTCACTACTGAAAATATTTTCAGTAAGAAATTTCTGTGTTTTTTTAAATTTTTTTCTTTATTCATCCGAGTTGTTTATACGAATATGCATGAGAGTGGGTGTATATATGTGTATACGTATACCAATTATCTTTAGTGAATAAAGCTTTTAGCCTTGTAGCAACCATAATGATTTATTCATTCAAGCAGGAAAATCAACATTGATCACAACAGTCAGGGAATATTAATTCTATTTTTTATTTACAGCTTGATTCCCCACTGTATTTTTGGTACAAGTATGGAATTTTCTAGTTTCTAGTTTTAATGCAACTTATATATATATATATATAAGTTAGTTATACATAAGTGAGATCCAAGTTATTGTGAATTGAGAAAGAATGTTAATCAGAAGCACTTTTAAATAATTAAAGATGATCATTAAAAATTGAAAAAAAACTAAACTTAGTGAACAAAGAATACTCTTCTTTATAACTAACTCTTCTACAGATTCTACAGTTTATATATATATATATATATATATATATATATATATATATATATATATATATATATAGTAATTAAAGAATTATTGTTATCACCAACATCAATGTTTTCAAAAAAGTATTGGATCAATAGTATCAGTATATTACAGTTGGAAAGCATCTGTGAGTGACATTATGTTTAAAAATGTAATATTAAACTGAATATCAAATAAATTAAGAAAAAAATGAGGGATCTTTAAATTCAAAAATAGACTTACGTAACCATGGTGACTGAACCTATTTATTGTGCACACCGAGCTCCGGTTGTTTTAAGCAAGTTGTAATGGCCTTTCCTGTTTGGAGGCCTTTTGCAGTTTATTCGGTATTCAGTAGACGATAGTAAGACAAAATATCCAGTATAGGCTATTGCAATTCGCTTAATACAACCGGAACTCTGTGTGTAAAAGAAACAGATCTAGCCACTGTTGCTACTTTAACCTGCTGTGGTATAAATACTGTAAGTTATATTCAGTTTAATACAACATTTCTGTGTATATGATCACTTACAGATGGTTCGGAACTATAATTTCTTGACCTTAATGATTCAATGTTATTCAAAACTTCAGTGTTCTTAATAATAATAATAATAATAATTCTTTAATTATTATTGATGCATACAACTACAGTACCCCTAAAGAAGGCGGAGTTATAGGAAAGAATATTCTTTGTTCCCTTATCTCATCCTTTTACGCTGTATCTGTCCTACTTATGCAATTATTTTGAGTAGCTAACTTACAATGTCGTCTTAACGAATTCGCTTTAATTATGATTTATACATTTTTCAATAATTTCTCTGAATGTTTACCATCATAAAATATGCCTATCTTTTTTTGATACATACGCAGTCTCTGTCCATATATATATATATATATATATATATATATATATATATATATATATATATATATATGGACTCAAGTATTTGGTATTTGTCTTCACCCATATTATGTATGCTTGTTGACCAGTATGTGCATACATAAATACGTGATCATGCATATCTACTGTGACAGTGTATCATTGTTTTGAAAAGATTGTTATTTGTGTGGTATCTCATTCATTAGCATTTTTTTAATGCTCATTATAATAATAAACTAAAGTCTCTCTCTCTCTCTCTCTGTGTCTCATAGTCGGTATTGTTTGCGTTCGTCCTATCATTCTGCTTTTTATCTACAAAGTTTACTTTCTCAGTAATTCTCAGAGAACATCAGCGGTCTAAAATAGATTTATTTTTTACATAACTCTGCCTTTTAAAATAAGTATGACAAGACGACTTTTTAAGGCATTTTAATTAACTGTTTCACAGTGTAGATGTTGATACAAATGGGATATCAGATAGCAGGATCATCGAAAGTCGCGAGTGAGAGAGAGAGAGAGTACAGCCTAAAGTAGATGTTTTGAGACTCTGTGATATTCATGAACGTTTAAGAGATAAAGAGATACTGATGATTGATGGTTCTGCGAAAGTGCTGTATACATACCCCCAAATTATGTGTTTTGCTCCGACCAAAAAATAAAAACTAATTATCTGTCAAAATAAGAGATATATTTCGGTATCGGAAATGTAGAAAGAGAGAGAGAGAGAGAGTGATGATGACTCCTTGACTAGCTAGACTGTGCCGTATACCGGGGATAGCTTCGTCACGTACCTTCATCAAGTCGACGTAAATAGTGAAATTTAGCAACAGTTGTTGAGTGGGGAATTATATACCTCTATAGATTCTTTAACGGATGCCTGTTTGTGACATAATATACACTGGAATGTCTTTCAGTTAGTATTTATCGCGATTTTTATGTGATTCCAAACATTGAATAATGGAGAATCAAACAGTACTAAAGAAATATTTCGTTTAGACTTTGAATCCAGTTATACAGTGAACTTGCTCATTATTCGTGTAGAATAAAGTTAAAAAGCATCACTTCCTCTAATGTTTCATCGTCGGTGGTCTCGAATCGATCACCGGACAACACACTTCTAAACCTCACGTAGTCGCAGATAAGCTGATAAGCTTTACAAAGAAGGAAGGTTGGGTGTGAGGCTTGCAACCCCACCCCGTAAAAAATAAATACTACTGATACTGAAACTTCAAAGCTCAGAGCTTGAAGGCCAGCGTTCCACTCGGAGCGTAAATGAAAAAAATTTAAAAAATCATAATTTCTTACAGTTATCATGTTAGTACTATAGTTTCAGTTTTTTCTTTAAATGATTTTGATTCTTGACGCAGAACCCCTTTGGAGTCAACAACTTATTTACAAACAGTTTTTTGTGAAGTATCATTCAGACAGGTATTAATTATAGTTAAAGTGAGACAATTATCTAAGCCAGATCACAAGCCTACTTGAGTAATGCAAATTACACTCATCATAATGTAAACGTGTCTGAAAACCTGAAAATTTAGTTAACGTGTTGCTTGTAGATTCGTATTCTTCTCCGCGTGAAATAATGAAAAATAATTGAACTCAAGATAAGACACATATCTAGTGGTGTTTAATTCTCAATGGATTCTGTACGACTGACTAAATGGTAAACGGTCTTGGCCTTGTTAGCTGAAGGTTTCAATCCCTGGTGGGTCATTCTGATGAAGAGGCACAAACGAGAACGAAACGACTGTCCATTACTCTCTGTTGGTTTTCATTGATTATCTAACGGAAATAAAGCGAATACGTTGAAATAAGCAGAATGTGTTGAATTCGTTTTTTCTTTGTATCATAAATGTCAAGTGAATTTCACATTCTCTTCACTTTAGGTGTTGCTATGGGTATAGCTGGTAGCGATGTAAGCAAACAAGCTGCAGATATGATTTTATTGGATGACAATTTCGCCTCTATTGTAACTGGTGTTGAAGAAGGTCGTCTTATTTTTGATAATTTGAAGAAATCAATTGCATATACACTGACATCGAATATCCCGGAAATCACACCATTTTTAATATATATTATCGTTGGTATTCCGCTACCATTAGGTACTATTACAATTCTATGCATCGATCTTGGTACCGATATGGTAAGCACGGCGTTTTGTTTCTTTGTGTTTTTATGTGATTTGTTAGTGTCATTGATGAATTAAAGCTGTCTAGGGTTTCTTTAAGATGAGGTGAATGCTAAGAGAATACTGAGCACTTTCCACCTTCCTCACCATCTACCAATAATCATTATGATTTTATTAATGTTTATCTGGCTTTTATTTACTACAATTAAGAGTTTAGTTATTGGGACTTTGTAGGCTATGGAGTGAACATATCATCTAAAGATTAATGTTAGAGTATTCCGTTTTATAGGGTAAAGTTAATAAGGTGGATAATTGCTTGTAATATATACGTAATACACATATCAAAATTCAAAAATACTAACTTCTAAGTCTAAAATAGATTACCTAAGGATTACAAGGTTATTTGCAAGTTATTATTGTTATTCCCTTGGATTCCGACTGGGAAATAGCTCTTCAGCAGCACATATCCATTTCACTGTGTTCTCCGCAATCTTCTTTAACTCGCCCCATGAATACTTCCATTTAATCCTCTCATGATCCTCCTCCATGTTACTCTCGAACTCTCAACCCGTCGTTTCCCTCTTGGATTCTACTCTAGGTCCTAGTGAATGATGTCACTCAAATCTGCAAACTACTCCCTGGAGTTTTACCTCAAATGGGATTTTATATTCTGTAATCACCAATCGTGTTCTTTAAGTAATTTTCTGAAAAAAGTACTTTTAAAAGTTCTGTTAGCTGAAACTGCATATAAAAGGATTGGGGATTAATAAATTCCGGATGCATAGTATAATCATGGGACTATGATTAAAAAATACAAATACTGTCAAGGAACTTAACCTTGAGTTCGTATTATCTCCGAAGACACTCGAATCGACAATTACTATGCGCAATATTGACCTTAACCTCAAAACACAAGGGCTTATATACGATCGAATCACTCGCGCCTTCGAGTTGCCCGCCAATGGCTACCAAGGCCAATAAACCAACGTTCAATGTTCACATTCATTTACTAATACCATTTTTATTTTCTAAGTTCAACATTAGCAGTTGGTTGAGTTTTCATTGAATCACTAAAAACTAAAATACCCTGCATAGCTATTAGTTAACATTTTCACATTTCAAGTGTATATAGAAAATAAAATAAAAATATATTATCATTATTCGGAGATAAAACCAGCCGCAAAGTTAGTAAATTAACGTAGTTGAATGATGACTGGAAGGTGTAATGAAAACCTAAAACGTCCGAAGTGCTAGCCGGATACTGAAAACAGATAAGGTGCCACATGCGGTTATCATTCCATTTCAACCATGTATCTACCAATCCAAGCTTATTCGAGTTGTTCTTAGAAGTTATTTAATTCATCGTATAAATCATATGCGTGTTACCTTGTACGTATACATTATATATAAAATTGTAGATTCCAGCTATCTCTTTAGCCTATGAAGAGGCTGAATCAGATATTATGAAACGTATGCCACGTGATCCTTTACACGATCGGTTGGTCAATGAACGTTTAATTGCTATGGCATATGGTCAAATTGGTATGATTCAAGCACTTGGAGGATTCTTTGTTTATTTTGTAATTATGGCTGAAAATGGATTTTGGCCAAGAAAATTAATAGGTATCAGAAAAGATTGGGATTCAAAAGCTGTCAATGCATTGGCTGATTCTTATGGACAAGAATGGGTAGGTTTCTCTTTGTGTAATACTTCTGAGTTGAGTAAAATAATTCTTTTGGAAGTTCATAAAATGAGAGTGTGAATCAAAAAAGTTCAGAATCAGTAACCCAGTGATGATTGGGGGTTTAGGTAACTGGATAAATCCGACACATAGATCTCCGCAACTTTCTGGAATAGATTTGAAGCGATTCTTAAAAGTGGCAGACTGAAGATGTGACACCAATCTATGCCGTATGTGGTTGATGATCTAAATTGTGTAGGAAAGTGGCAGTCTTTCTTGTTAGCTTAGGAAAAAGATCTGAAAAGAATTCATAACTGTATTCCAATGAATGTTTATATTCAATGATAAGTTTTTTTGATTTTGTAAACTTGTCTTATAGGATTATATTACACTTGAAAAGGGTGAATTGAATACGGACTATACTAAGAGATTTATACTGTAGGTGTCTAGAAGACTGTGCATATTTTTTCGGCGTCTTCACCTAAAAGGACGTATATCATCTGCACACTCCAAGGCGACAAGACTTTATTCTAAAAGCAATTCGAACCCTTATTTTCGCTACACATCACCGTTATGTGAAGGTAATAGTTTAGGGGATATGCGTAACAATGAAATTTCAAAATTTTGATAAAAATACATATCTCGTTTAACACTTCCCAGGTATTTATAGCCAACATAACTTTGACAATAATGTCTACAATATTTTGATGCCATCTATCTGCTACTTTTGGCAACTATATCTTGTTTAGTCATAATATAGAGGCAAAGTGAACTTCTGTACCGTACAGTACATACATATTTTTAAGATGATTTAGAGTGGGAAATATACACCAAATTGACTGTTCATCATCACAGAAATGTATATACATAAACTGAAGTGAAAATTCTCCTATTGAAGGCAATACTCAAAATGTTTTCTTTGTTTGTTAGTGTCAGATAGTTATTGATAAAATATCCTTTTTAAAACTGTTTCTATACTTTTTCTTAATTTCCAGACTTACAGTCAACGTAAACGCTTGGAGTACACTTGCCATACAGCATTTTTTGCTGCTATTGTAATTGTTCAATGGGCTGATTTAATCATTTGTAAGACACGTCGAAATTCAGTCTTTCAACAAGGAATGTGGAATCAGTATTTGAATTTCGCCTTATATTTTGAAACAGCACTAGCTTTATTCCTTTCTTATTGTCCAGGTTTAGACACAGCCTTGCGTATGATGCCTTTAAGGTATGTAATGTTTTTAATGCTTTTTTTATAGCAGTCCATTACTGAGCGATTGGGGTGGGTTGACGTAATTGATATAAATACTCAGAAGTGACTTCAAAAGTAAAACTATAAGTTATAAATTACCTAATACCAAATGGCACAAAGGGAGAAAGAGTTATTGATGAGAAGGTAGCTAAGTATCAATTTAACAAGTATGGAGAGGATGAGAAAATGTACAAAAGGAACATATGAGAGTGACAATAGTGAATTAATTACCAAAATAAAGGCAAACTAAAAGTAAAATTAAAAATGAGCAGGTAATAACTAGTGAAGAGATTAAGACCATGGTAGAATAAGACACTGCAGAAATTCTTTTCTGTACACAGAATTTAGGGTTGTATTGACGAACTGCTAACGCCTCCGCCATACGCAAACGCCGAAACCTGACGCCCTTTGCACTATTTGGCCTCACCTTGTAAATAATCTTAAAAGACGACTATGGTAGAGCTACGTGACTTGAGTTCACCAAGTGCTCGAAAATTGTCTTGGATTGTTCTTTTGCACGATTAACAAAACTAAAATCTTGGAATCATGGAATTGTTTCCAGTTTTCACAAAAATCTTTTATGTACCAGGATAAAAAGACATAATCTATTGATTATAAAGTGGTCATACATTGCCTAGGTCAATACTTCGGAGACATTCACAGAGTCAGTATCATTAAGAAAAGAGTAGTCAGTATCTGGTGGTACGTTGACGGTGGTTCATTAGTAGAATACTCGTCAACCATAAACGTGATTCAAGGTGATATCCTCGGCTGACATCCCATTTCATGAATATCTTACAAATTTGTACTAACTAACTATAAATCTGTTGTTATAATACATATTGTGAGATTTTTACTTCACGCTTTCGAATTTTTGTTTTACATTTCAGGTTCACGTGGTGGCTTCCAGCTTTACCGTTTTCCATATTGATTTTTGTGTATGATGAAACAAGAAGATATCTAATTCGAAAATCTCCTCCAGGTTCATGGATAGAAAGAGAAACCTACTATTAAAATACATAATAGACTAATATAATGAATGCCCTATCTGTTGCATGTGTGTGCATGTGCATAGGCATAATTTAGAAGAAGACCAGCACATTCATGCACAGACGCACACACATGTGTCGGCTCATTTCCCATGAAATTACATCGAAGATTATAAAATTGACTTTTCCCCCGTTTTTTCTTTCCGGTTCTTACTTTCTTTAATCTTATTTTTTCATGTTATTTATAAACTACTTATTGAGTAATAATTTTTTGATTGTCAAACGTAAAGCCTATTATAATCTATATAGCTGAATGAATGTATAAATACATCCATCTACATGAATATGGATTTAAGCGCCAGTCAGTTAACATTTTCCAGCCATATACAACACATATGCAATAATACACCCTTAACTTACATAACTTATTTGTGATTTCAATTTTTGTTTATTCTCTGTTTAATTTATTAGAGGAGTAGATATGTAAAAAGAAAAACTCAACAAATATAATTGCCTGAGAGTGTTGTTCTTCATAAATGTCTCTGCTTCCTTTTTTATCATTGTTGGTATAGTAAGCGAAAAAAATCATCATGAATCCTGGAATAATTTGAGTGCCGAGTCAGATTAATTCATTATAAATTATTTAAATTGATCATAGGTGCCTGCGTTCTATTTCCCGTGTAAAGTGGCATAATAAGGTGAGCAACATGGAGGTTAGGCGTAGAGTTCTAGGTAAACAGGGGAAATCAATCGACGAAGTCGTGAAGCTACAAAGACTGAGATGGTTAGGACATGTGTTACGTATGCCAAGCCATCGCCTCCCTCGACGAGCAATGTTAGCGGATATAGGGTCAGGCTGGAAAAAAGCTAGCGGCGGTCAAACAAAAACGTAGCACCAGTCAATGAAATCCACAACAGTTGGTCTAAGCCACGTAGGAAGGTGTAGACTTCCTGACTGGTTGGGGTCCTCGGGACGGTAAAAATCTATGGTTGGAAACAATTGGTGACATGGCTCAAAACCGTTCTCAGTGGCGCAGATGCATCCACTCCCTGTGACTTATTATCTTCAATGAAACTGTTTTGTATTTCCTTATTACTCCTTTGTCTCACACCTCTGCTCACTGTTTCTATTATGCTTTTCTTGTACTTTCTTCTCTTGCTTCGCGTGCTACACGGAATGTGGTGACTTGAACTTCCGCACATTTTAGCAAAGTTCTATGTCGAAAACAGACAGACAGACAGACATTTAAATTAATCCCAGCGTGTTTAAGAGAAAATCAAAACAAGATTTTTCTAAACGTTTCGTTGTGTGAGCTACAGCTTCTTCAGCAGAATTATTCGGATTTTATTAATCATCAAAATACATAGTCAAAGAATTTTTTGTAATTTAAATAATTTATAATGAACTTCAGAGGATTTCTTTAAATCCATATTAATATGTGTAAAACTTGAGCACTGTGGTTGTTAGTATGCTTCAGTTATCAATCTTCCTCTTCACCCTGTTATATTAGATTAGATTTTAGAGCTGTCTTCTTATCCCATTGTATTGTATAGTTCTGTGTGATCGCTTGTGAGGTAGTGCAATATATACCTGAACTATTCTCCAGATTGCATTGTTTAGAATTCTTCTAAGCTCTCTGCGGTTTGTTCTTGATATGGAAGTACTACTGATGAATTAAATTCTTTATTGGTGGTGTTGTCATCATTCTCTGCATGTTTGACTTGTATATCTTTCTGAATATTATTATCACTATCGCTACCATTATTATTAATTTTTCTTCTAAATTCTTCCTGATTGATTTGTCAGGGTGATTATTACGTTTCAGGGCTTCTCTTGTATGCCTCTTTTCTTGTCTTAGATTTTCCTTGGTGTGACTTAGCTTTTTGCCCTATGACTTAGACCCTGCACAATCCAATTTAACTGGCGTAGGATAGGATAATCAGAAACCTGTTTGAATATGTGGGTTTCCTGTAAACATTAGTCTTCAACTTCCCATCTTCTTTCCTTTTTACGCTACAATCTAACATTGGAAGCTCCCCTTCCTGAATTTCTATTTCATAAGTAAATTCAATAGCCTCCACCTTCTAGTTAATGTGTTCGAAAAATCTACTTATGTCGTGTGTTCTAAGTACAGTGAATGTGTCATCTACATACCTCCGCCATTTTTGGGGGCGGGGCTGAGCGTTTCAGTCACTAAGTTATCCCACCTGTGCATGAGTATATCTGCCATTATCGGGGTTAGTGGTGTCTCCAAGACAACTTCCTCAGTTTGTTGGTATATTTTCTATTGGAATCTAAATACTATAAAAGTTACACATAGCTGCAATCCCAACATTACGTCTTCTAGTTTCACTTTTGTTCTAAGTTCAATTTCTTGGTCAGAAATGAGTTCGTTTCTGACCGCTTCTATAGCCATATTTACCTATGTACGTAACTGAAAAATAATAGAATAGTGGTTGTAATCATCATTATACTAAACAACTTTAGAGATTGTCTTTAAATAAATGTTGAGAACAACTGATGAGTGTGAGAATTTGATTAAGACACTTAACCATCAGCAATAGGTAACAGTCACAATCAATGGGAGAAATCTAAAAATAGTCACACTTCTTTAACTCACCATCTCTCCAGGGTAGCATCAATTCAACTACAGGTAGGCCTAACGAATGGGACAGTCAACGCGAAGCAGGATAGGAAAGGCAAAACAAACTTTTATCAATCTGAAATCAGTGTGGAAATCTACTGCACTAATCATAAAGACCAAGTCTTTGATATAGTTCACAGACTTTGTAGGCGCGTAACCAAAAGTATTTCAAACAGGTTTTAGACTTTTATCAACAGTTATTCAGTTCGCTGCATACTAAAGGTCAGATGAATGGACAAAAAGAATGCTTGAAAAAGCAACGAATTAACCAACCTATACTGAAGAAAATGGGGACGGATGACATACACACTTAGGTGACTGTTTCAAGCAGAATGGCAAACGATAGTTGGACGTTCAAAAGCGATATGCTGGAGATGTCGTGGGAAGGAAATTAAAGCGTTTTGTAGCAGTCGTGAAGATAACTAAAGAGAAGTGTAGAGAACAGAATTAAATGAAGATGTCTTCTCATCCCATGTGTTCCACTTGGGGCCAAAGGGAAGAATGATGTTTTTAGCTGTAAGAAGCATTCATTTCTTTAAGAGTTTGTCGTTATACTTTTTACAACGCTAGTATTGGTAAGCAGAAAACTTATGCCTTAAACTGGATAACCTGCTTTATACTTGACATATGTCACATACCTATCTGAATTAATCTTGAGTTACTTTTATGTGTGTATAGTCAAAAAACGTCTATCAGAAGAATTCCACAGTCGTGTAATGATATGTTGTAAAAAAAGTCTTTCTTTTAATACACATTCAAAAATCAATCTTACTGGGTCACATGCAGATAGAAAATGAAACTCTAAATTTTAGCATATTTGGCAATCAAAAATTCACCGATGAACAAGATGAATTTAGCGCGCGCACACATACTTGCTGACAGAAAATTTCTTTTTTTTACAAGCTATAAGCTGCAAATGAAAAAAACAGATATAATGCTCAAAGGATTGGATTACTTACTAATTACACATTATGGTAGCTACTCAATGCGGCCTACATATGCACACAGTTGAAGGTAAGCACAGAAATGTGTTTACACAAATTATTCAGTATCATAAGTACTATGTGAATGAATCAACTTTGTTTTAAATAAAAAAAGATAATGTGGAATGCTTGTGAAGTATTCTGCTACGATCATTAGTATTATGGCGTCTGTTAGTAGTAATTTCTATCTAAGCTAACAGGTTGTTTTTGTTTAAACAGAATGAAAAACAATTCTTCCATGAAATATTTGCATAACTTGCCTTTTTTCTTATCCACCAAGGAATGTTTATTCATTTTTCACCCTGGTGAACACAATGCATTTAAGGTGGATAGAAACTTTAAGTATTTTTTTAAGCAGACTGCCTTCCTTCTGTATTTAAAAGGAATTCGTTGTGGGTATTCAGTTTCCCTGGTAACTCTCTGCTTAATGTTCTCTTTATTTACTGATTGCATCATTTTGTCTTCTCATTCTTAGCTTGACTTTGATGTTAGTCTTAAATTTTGATCCCTTGAGTTCTAATCACTGCATTCCATCGTCATCGTCTTTTCATTAAACTAATCATACGCAGACAGACAGACAAACAAAAAATTTTGATTTTTCAATCTTATGAGTTTTAATCACTGCACTTTGTTATCTCTGATTATCATGACCACAACAAAGAATTTATTCAATTATTTTTTCACTAGAAATTTCGTTCTCAATAAATAAATTCAATGTTTTATTTCAGTATGACGATCCTAGAGACCTTCCCTACTGGAGGACTCATTCCTGATGATTAACGAAGTGTATGTTAAAATTGTCCGTTGGTGGTACGGCGGCACAATGGTCGCCAACCAGGCATGTAGTGTGGAGTTCGATCCCTGGCCGACGTACTTCTAAACCTCGCTAAGACGGTAGTAAAGTCAGTAAAGAGAGAGGCTTGGATTTGATGTTAGCAACCCCACCCCATAAAAAATAAACGACACTGAAACTCCAAAGCTTTAGTTTGAAGGTCAGCGTTCCATTAGAAACGTAAAGGAATAAAGAATAATACTGAAGTTGCATTTATAACTTGTTTTATTAAACGTTGCAAGTTGTTCACAGAAGATGAAATATGATGGCTCCATGTTATTCTCCTCTAAGGTTTGTTCTTTCCATGTCCAAATTTATAAAGAAGAACTCGAATATAGGCTAGATTTCATTTCAATAAAATTTGAAAATAGAAAGGATGTATGCATGAAGAATACTTGGTTTGCAAAACTAAAAGGTACTATGATTTCAAAAGTATCTCTTATTCATCGTTTGATAGTTATTATAACTAGAAGGCAAAAATAATACGTTCCGAAGCACAATACAGATAAAATGATAGTTATTTACTTAGTTTTCAATCTGATTCCATCTGTAATGAAGGCTTTGTTTGTGGAGATAAGTAGAAATCGTCAAGTTCCTCCTTAATTTAAATTTCATTTGAATCTTCTACCAGCAAATTTACCGGCAAAATAGACAAAAAGATAGAGTAGAACAAAATTTCTCAACAGCATTTCAAACAAATATTCTGAAATATCCCTTCTTCAGATTTTTATGATTCTCTTCAGAAGTACAGTGACTGACAAAGTACTTAGTAGGTACATTACTAATATTAGATGGTTGGGGCTAATCGGCAGGAAGCCTTCTACCTAGGTTTCGTGCTTGCTGGCAGTCATCAGCAAGGCGTATCTACAAACTTGAAGTAGCTCATGCCCTTTCTGGGCCTAGAACCCGCGTCTCTCAATGCTGCAGTCAGAGACGTTACCACTGACTGAGCTATTCGGGCTGGCGACTGATCTCATGTCGGACAGTATTGGATACTTTGGTCGGACACCAGCTACTAACTAGTGTCATTAGCAATTTCATTGTTCCGATTGGAGCAAGCTTTTAATTTTCAGTAGC